AAGGCCCTCCCTGGCCCCAGGCAGGCAGGGGTGGGGAGAGGCAGGGAGGAAGCAACTTACCCTCCCTCTTCTCCTGCCTCCTCCTGGCTGAATGAGGGCCGGAAGCGGGGTGGCCGGAAGCAGGGGGCGGGGCTTTGCCATGTGCCCCGCCCCCCATACCTCACCCAGGGAAACTGCAATCCCCCCCGAAATGACCTCTGAGTTCAGCACAGAAAGGACAGCCCTCTGTTTGATCTCACCACTGCCACCACAACAGTGCTGTCCTTTGGGTTTCTGTTTCATATTGAGGTGTCTTTGATTTCCTTTCTTTGTGGCCTTGAGTGTATTATTAGAAAGGCAGGATACTCTCCGGCCCACTGACTCACTTGGACAAAGGATGACTACTGTTCCTAGGGAGATGGGAAAGAAAAGAAGAATGCAGGGAGAGACCAAAGAGCAGGTAAAAGCCCAGGTTCAGTTCCTAGCTCCTAGACTCACAGCGAACTGTACAACAGAAGGCAGCTACTGCATTTACTCAAAAGGAATGCAAACCTGAATGTAAGACGACCCCGTTAAAAATGTTATCCATGCAAAAAAAAAAAATTATTGGATGCAGCTGTAACTTGTATGTGAAAGTAAGATAAACCTCTATTATTTTAATATACCAGGGTGGGGGGAAAACCTAGTCTTCCATTTGAGGAAATACTATCGATCTAAACCTTTTTACAAAGCACAATAATTAGGACTTGAACCCAAATCTGTGCCTACTACTGGCTTTCTCCCAAGGAGGAACGGGTCCCAGATCTGCAAGCGCCTCACACATTTGCACTGCACAAAGGTGAGTGGGCAATCTAAATCCATGCTATTATACTGTAGGATTTTTAAAAATATTACTTCAAGCTTCAGTGGCTCAGACAAAGAGTGCAAATCCTATGGGAGAAGAAAATGCGCTGTACTGCCGCAGGCAGCGTGATTGGTAATGCGGAAAGCCATCTGACACCACTTAGACGGAGAGACGCTAATGTAAAATAACTCAGCTCTCCATAAAGACCTGCATTTTCCGGCCCCTGTTCTGTTATGCAATATGCTTGTAACACACACCGAAGAGTCAGGAAAATGGATCACTGGGGAAATGCTGCTGTCTATGAGCTAAACGCTAAGCAGTCCCTCTGCTGAAATAACCCAGCTACTAGAAACAGATCTGGAACAGTGAATTCCAGATGGACAACTGTCTTAGGGCCAAACAAAATGAAATATTGTGAACTGATCTCTGGTGTGGCTTTTACTGGAGGACAACAGAAAGGGGAGGGGGAGGTATAATAGTTTGGATGGGAACCATAGCACAGGAGGAGGGGTTTAACTTCCCCCCATGCTGTTTTCCCAACCTCCAATGAATACATAAGAACATGAGAAAAGCCATGCTGGATCAGACCAATGGTCCATCTAGTCCAGCATCCTGTCTCACACAGCTGCCAACCAATTCCTTCAGAGGGCCAGCAACAGGGCATAGAGGCTGAGACCTTCCACAGATGTTGCCTCCTGGCTCTGTGATTCAGAGGTTTAGTGCCTCTGAACATGGAGGTTCCCTTCAGTCACCACGACTAGTAGCCACTGATAGACCTATCCTCCACAAATCTAATTGCCTTTTAAAGCTGTCTGTGCCTGTGGCCATCATTACATTCTCTAGCAGCAAATTCCACATTTTAATTGCTCGATGTGTAAAGAAGTATTTCCTTTTTCTGTCCTCAATCTACCGCCCATCAGCTTCACTGGATGCCTACACGAAAACTGTCAGTCATTTCTCAGATAAGTACCATGACTGCCAACAGCTCCTCAGGGTCCGAGGCAAATATCTGTCACATCACTTGCCACCTAACTGAAGCTGTAGGGGGTTGAGCCTGGGACCTTCTGCATGTCAAGCACATACCCTACCCCTGAGCCATGCCCCCCACCTTAATCTTCTAGAGGAAACAGCAGTTCTCAAATATCGTAGTTGAAGGTGCATTGATGTGATGCGATACTGAGAGGAAAAAACAAATTTAGTTTGAACAGTCCAAGGTTGAAAAGAGCTGGATCAGATCTGTGGCCTTAGATTATTGGTTAGAAGTAGGGTTGGCAACCTTCAGGTGGCACCCGGAGATCTCTCACTATAACTACTGATCTCCAGATGACCCAAATCAATCCCTCTAGAGAAAATGCCTGCTTTGGAGGGTGGACTCTATGGTATTACGCCCTGCTAAGGTCCCTCTCCTCCCCAAATTTTGCCCTGTGCCCGCTCCACCCCCAAAATCTCCAGTCATTTCCCAACCCAGAGCTGGCAACCCTAGAAGTAATTTCAATACAGTTCTTCAGGGTCAAACTAGACAAGACATGCATGGCACCAGCCGCTCACATCACATAGCTCATGGGCTTTTCAAACATTTGCTTAGAAATGAATCCCTAGCCAAAGCTCAGTAGAAAGGCTAATTTGTTCAGTATTTAAAAAAAATCCCACAACAAAAGAGACTGTGGGATCTTTCACTTACTACTGGGCAGTCACGAGGAAAAGGACAGACAGCTTCTTTTCCATTCAACAATGAATTTTGCAGTGGCTGTGCCAGACAGATACACAATTTGGTTCTCGTTCATCAGGGCCATCATCTTGAACAAAGTCTAAACGTGCACTGATCTGGGGGCCTGAGCTGCTCCGGGTGGCCACTATCCAGATCACACGCAGACAAGCCCCTTCACCTTCTCCTTACTCCCTGTCTCTCAGTGTACAGTCAAGCATTTCCCAAACCTTAAAGTATGGCCGGTCCATCTTTCCCTCACTTCTGAGGGCATTGGCACACCAAGAGTAAGAGGGGTAACGATGCCAGATCAGACCGGTGGCTGTCTAGCAAGCTTCATTCCTGGTAAGCCCCTTTCCAAGGGGCAAACGCTGCTGTCATTATAGTTGGCCAGAATAGGGGGTGGGCAGCGAGAAGGAAGGCTTCTGAAAGTGTGAGCCCTCCGTTTTCTGGAATCTTCTACCAGAGGATGTTCATAAACTGTCACTTGCATTCTATAGACCAACATCTACTGGTGATCCCCCGCCCAAGAGATGTCTGCTTAGTCTCAACCAGATCCGGAACTTTTTCAGCTCTGGCTCTGGCCTGGTGGAACAGTCTCCCAAGTGAAAACATTGCCCTGCAAGATTTGTTACACTTCTGCAGGGCCTGTAAAATGGAGATCTTCCGCCAGGGCATTGCTGGAGGCGACAGATACCAAACTATAATGCTCCACCCCTCTGCTCCACCCACCTGTTTCATCTGCCGGCGCTGTTTGCAGGCATTACTTTTATGTTATTAATGGTGGGAGTTCTGCTACTCATTAAACTATCAAACCACCTGAGCGTACATACGAATGGGAATTGATGAGTAATTTAACCACACTGGAGTCATCTTGCACTTTATATTATGCTACACCGAACTGACTTTTATAGCATAACGTTTGAACTTCTAAAATTGTTGTATTTGCATACGTTGTATGCCGCCCTGAGCCCTGCTTGTGGAGGAGGGCAGGATATAACCTGAATTAAAGACATAACTAAATCCACACCTTTCTTAAGGTTCTGGAGGTGATGCATCATCAGCAATCTGACTGAGTGTGTGAAGCTGCCTTACACAATGAAAACACCATATGAAGCTGCCTTACACAATCAAGGACCATATTGTCTACTCTGACTGGCAGCAGTTCTCCAGGGTCTGAGGCAGAGGTCTTCCATATGACCTACTACCTGTTTCTTGTAACAGGAGAGGTCAAGGACAGAACCTGGGACCTTCTCCATGCAAAGCAAACACTCTGGAATGATGTTTTATCACCTACCTTAAAAGCCTCCTCATGAATGTCATTTTAATTTAATGACAGCCAGTTTGGCGTAGTGGTTAGGAGCACGGACTCTAATCTGGGAGAACCGGGTTTGAGTCCCCACTCCTTTACATGCAGCTGCTGATGTAACCTTGGGTCAGTCACAAGTTCTTTCAGAGCTGTTCTGTCAAGAGCAGTTCTCAAGAGAGCTCTCTCAGCCCCACTTACCTCACAGGCTGTCTGTTGTGGGGAGAGGAAGGGAAAGGAGACTGTAAGCTGCTCTGAGACTCCTTCGGGTAGTGAAGGACAGGGTATAAATCCCTCCTCCTCTTCTTCTTTTCCTCTACCACCGATCTATGTCCTCACCCCTCACTGACATATGATTAAGATAAATCTTTCACCTGGCAGCAAATACTGTTGGGAGAAAATCTTCTAATATTTTTTCCATTAAGGGAATGCAGAGAGATGATAACATCCCTTATATTCCCAGGTCTCATCTATTATTTCTTTCTTCAATTGCTTGCACGTACAACAAAACACACAAAAATGTTTTCCTTCTTAACATCCACTGGTATCTTTTCTTCATTAAACTATAAACTATTTCCTATACTTTCCCCCCCTCTATATTTCAAAAAGGCTTTGGTAATAACGTTGTGCGTAACTTTGGTCATCACAGAAACGTATTTTGAACTTGTGCATTGCTGATGCCACATTCCTTGGCAAAAAAATAGCAGGGAACCAAGACACGTACTTGGAACTGCTTGGATAGATGATGATGTTTCCTGTTACCTCCAGACTTACAATACCATGTAAAAAACAATGAAAGCTAACAACATGCTACTAGGGTGTAATGTTTAACAAATTACCAAAAATTTTAGAAGATATATTCAAATACATGGTGACAGTGGC